GGGCGAGCTTATATATACATATACATATATACATATATGTATACATATTATTGATTTATTTATTCGTTCGGGTTTATGTGTTTGTTTATTTTATTTATACAATATTTTCTGGATCGCACATTTGGCACCTAGCACTTGCATTGAAGTGTAGCACCGCAAGACTCAGGTGAGGAGTGGCTTCCGATCACACTGTCTCTCCAGTGACCAGGCCGCACTAGCTCGTGCCTGCCGAGAACTGCCATGTAAGCTTAGCCCATGGACGTGCCAGCTTCACGAATCGAACTTGTTGTAAGGGACGTCGCGCACAAAGCCGATCTGTGCGGAGCTTAGACGTTCGCAACGCTTGACATCATGCTCTGAAACAAGAGAAAGGCCTCGCGGGATCCCATGTCTCTGTTGGATTTGAAGCGCAGTGGCCACCCAGGTTGAGCTTAGTGGCGCAGCGCCCAGCAGCATCCTGGCGGCTAAAATTCGTGAGCGTCGTTCTGATCCTGGTGGCAATCAGGGCTGCGCAATGTGTCTCGAATCTTCTAGCACTACCAGTAAATGACCCCTGTCATTGGACCGAAAAATCAGCGTCCAAAATCCTCAAGTTGCTAGCATGTGCCACGCCGAGGACTTCTTGCCACAAATGCAGGAAAAGCCAGACGAGTGGACGGACTGTTACGGTTTGGGGTTTAGACATGGTTTAGACATGGGCAGCGGGTCACAGTCGCCCCGGCAGAACCTGGCCGACCTCGTGCTCGAAGGCATCGTCCTCGTGGACGATCAGCGGGCAAACTTCCAGCAGCTCAGACGAAGGTGACGAAGGGAAGCGGACGAGTCGTTTCACTGTGCGCCGGTGCTGAGGAGCCCGTCCGGTGCACAAGTGCTTCGATTCTGCAAGGCGGGGTTCAGTGGGCTCCTGCCATGGATGATTCACCGTCGAGTCGGTGCTCCCGTTTTGAGCTGACCTAGTCCACGGCAGGTGGCGCGCTACGATGCATTCTACAGAAATCTCGGCTTCGTTGCTCGACATGAGTTGGCGATCAAGACATCCAGCTGAGAATGCAGCCGCTCGCGATTGAGGTGAAGAATATGGGTGGCATCGGTGCCCATTGCATCGAAGATTTTCGAACTTTGCAAATGTTCGTGGAGGCCCCATACATGTACAAGGAGCCGGATAGTCCTCGGATTAAGCTGACTGCGCATGCCCACGATTGTTTTTGTTCAAGATCCATCGAGTGTTCCATGTCGCTTGCAAGTGCGGCCTTGGCATAATGACTTGCCATGGTTTTAGACGTCCTTGCTGCAAAGCCCACGATGTGTGGATGAGAATTTCCCCATCGCACCTGCACCGCGAAAAAGCAGCACACAGGAGACTTTCAAGCTTCACTGCGTGCAGCGGCGCTTTCCAGACTACGGACGCTTCGAGCGATGTGGAAAAGACTGTGTTTTGAATGTTTTTGGAACTCGTATTTGGAGTGCTCGGGTTAGCCTGTTGCCGGGTTGAAGGAGTTGCAGGCATTCGGTGTTTGTCATTAGCGCGGCGCAGTTTGGAGAAGTAGCAACAACACGCGTTTAGCAAGAAAGCCAGCCCAGCGTCGTCATGCCAGTGCAGCGCAGGAGTGCGACGGCCCGTGGAGGTCGTGCTCTTCGACTTTGATGAAACGTTGACACTGGCGACCTTTATGCAGCGCAGCAGCAGAAGAAGTAGACTTGAAGTAGCTGTGTAGATCTTTGGCAGTGCCGCAAAGTTACAGGGCCAATGTTCTCGTGGGGAGGGACAGCAGGTTCTGACACCTAGATTTGCCGTTAGCTCGAATTGGGCCGTCGTGCTTCTTTAGCGGGGTTGGCTTCATCGATCTCTTGCCGTAAATCTGTGGCTTGGTGCACTTCCCATGACTTGGAATCGCTATCAAGCCACACCCGCATCCTCTCGACCAAGGCCTTTGCTGAGCTTCTTTTCACACGTCGACTGGGACCCTGGCGAGCTATCAGGGACGGTGGCTTGCAAGCGGGAAGCGGGAGCAGTGGATTTGGAATTCTGGCAATTTTTGCAGGAGCTTCCGTAGGAGCTTTCGGATCGGAAGGCGACTGCCCCCAGCTGATCACCGCAAGCCGTAGAAACTCCAAATGGCTTTTTGTAGGGTATAGGTTGAAAGGCACCATCGCCATGGCGATGGATCTGTGATGGGCAAAAATGCCACTTTCCGAGGACTGGAGTGCTGAGGAGCTAGTGCTCTACAGCTTCGAATCACCGTTCTTGGATGGCCGCAGAGCCCCGGCGTTTGTCAGTTCACTGGGCCACCCCACAGCGGCTTGCCTCTTCTTTCGTGAAGTGATCTGGCGCTTTCGAAGGACTGGCCCTGTTGAAGGCTATGCTTCAGGACTGAAGCTGCTGCTTCCCAGTAGCTGCAAGTCGTACGGTAAGTGCATGCGGGTGACGCGATGACTCCGCGCACGTTCCTGGAAACAGCTGGGATATGAACCGAGTAGTTTGGGCGTTTCTGTCAGGTTCGGAACATGCACAGTCGCGATGAGAAACCTTAATGTCTTTTACCAACCTGACAGGACATCGCTAAGCGACACATTTTGGCCGTGCTTTCGAAAAATGAGAGCGGTGCGGCTGCAGCGTCTAGCTCAGCAAATTACAGTATGCGCATGTATGCACAGGCGGCAGGTGCATTTGCACTCCGAAACTTCCCGGGACACAGCCTTGAGAGTCATTCCATGTGTTTCCTTTGCTGTAAGACTAACAGCACATGGGATTTGTGATCCGTGGTACCCGTTCCGCATCGGGGTGGGCGATGGCGCGTGAGGTCTTGAACCTGCTGAAACTGGCGGGTCTTGCAGATTACTTCAGTGCCATCTGGACTACGCCGTACCGGTCGTTACTTGGCAATGCTCGGAGAAGCCGAGAATGTGAACAGCAGAGCCTTCTTCACCGCATCCGTCGCCATCAATGCTATCACCATCATCAGCGCAGCATCATCACCATCATCCGCAATTGCTGGTTCTCGTCATGATCGCCGACGGCAAGTATCAGTTTTACCGCAATCGCTACACCTGTCCTCAGTACCATCATCACCATCCTGACTACCATTCTCGAGGCAACAGGGCATCAATTGCAACATGTCACGTGTCACCAACGACCTCACCTCATTCCCATCATCACCAGCATGTCCGATGTCACCATCAGCACAACTGTGGCAACAACTGCATCATCATCGTCATCATCATCATCATCACCGCAGCAAGCGGCAGTAGAAACTTCGATGATCATGTGCTTACTGCTACATATCACCGTGACGTTGCCACCGCGAATACCATGATCCTGACCTACCATTACAGTAATCTCAACCTGTACTACTATCGCTACCATTGCCACTATCATCGTAATTTGCGGCAACTACTACTCCTTGACTCCGAAGTTACGACGCTTCGGTGATCAATGGTATTCAGGGGATGCAATGCCCATCGCACATGAGAGCTCGAGAACATGCTCCGGATTCATTGCGATGCTCAGCGTTGATGTTGGTTGCTGCAGGCTCGTTCCTTGCGGCGTGTACCAAGCTTCTCCTGGGCAGTGGGAGGTGTTTGAGCCCCCGCTGATGGACGTTCAGGACCACCAAACAGATGCTCGTCTCAGAAGGCTGCATTGAAAATGCCCTGCCCCAAACCACACCCACTTGCCACCAAGGAGGTGCTGTACGACATAGCAACTCGGTTTTCAATCATGGGGTTGTAGAAACAGCTCGCATTGGGTCCCACTGTGTAGCAGCGAGTGCACACCGCACATGCATGGTTTGGGCAACATTACACATAAACAGATGGACACGTGGCGAAAACTCTGTGCTCGTACAACACAGGCCATCGGTCAGGAGTGATTGACAGGATTTGGTTTGAGGTTCAGCGCAGATAGCCTGGTGACCTAAGGTGGACCACACCGACAAGTGGTTTCCCCAAATTGGACTGAAGCAGGACCGAGCCCTCGTTTGTGCATAGGCGTACCACATCTAGAAGTATCACACGTCTGCTGCATGACCCTATGCCAGGATCGCTTTGTGCGGTTGCAACCGCTGTCCCCTGAATCCGCGCTCCGGCCCGGATGGGGGAGGTTGAGAGCAGCCAAGCTCCCCCCGTTAGGTTTGTGTGTGTGTGTGTTTTCAATGCTTGGGGTTTCTATATATGTTCTATATGTACATGTGTGTTTAAGCTGTCCACCTCCACATCTCCATCCACCTCCATATCTCCGTTCCATTGCCGGCCCCCTTTCGGGGAGGAAGGTCAGGCGCCTGGCCAGAACGACCGCTTCCCTGCAGCATAGGCAAAGAACACCGGGGGCAAGCAGTAGCATAAGACAAGCCAGGCTCAGCATAACAAGGAAAACCCCAACATAAAGACAAGCCGGGTCGAGCATAACAAGAGAACCTGTTGTCCACATGCTGAACTTGTAAAGCCTGTGGCGTTACACAGCCTTACGATGCCTTGCATGCCACGCGGTGCCGAAGTGGAATGAGAGGTACTGCCACTTGGCCCGTCGATGCATTTGGATTTCCCCTGGCAATTCGCTCAGGTTATTCTCATCGACGACGAGCGAGAGAATCTTCAGAGCCCGCTTGGCAAGCAGGCGCTGCGCTACTGTGCCTTGGCAGTCGTTGCTGGGCTCGTTTCGTGAAGTGTAGAAGCTGCAGTTCACCAGGCAAGTGAGTAGAGCGGCAAAGCCTCGAAGAGCCTCGCGAACCTTTGAGGCAAAGTGGCCCGGTACGACGAGGTCTACAGAAATTGTGGTCCGCTGAACCAGCTTGGAGGAATCGGTGCGCACAGCGACCAGGCTTACAAGCTGGAGGGGTCCTTCACGACCAAAGCAGCACCAAAGCGACCCTGAGGCGAGGAAGACTTCGAAACCCTGAAGGCCTTCATCGCAGAGCCCTGGGCCTTCCAGGCGCGAACAAGTACGTGTCCTGACCCGAACTGCGCAAGAATGGACCTTTTCCTTGGCTCTTTTCGGGCTCCGAAAGCTATGCAAAGCATCGTCTTTTATGGCAATCTCGATGCTGACTGTGATTCCGTGGCACAGGAGCCGAGCTTTGAAAAAGAGCAAGGTGAGGAGGGGGCCGACTCTCAGCTGCAGTGTACATCTCGCATAGCCTAGCCGGCCCAGCTTCGCCAGAATGCGCTGCGGGAAGCGCTGTCGCTGTCTCCCACAATTCTCATGCAGCCCTGCCTTCTTTGCCTAGCATGTTACTGCATGTAGTTAGACTATGTTTAACTCGCTTTCTAGAAGTACAGAATACAACAGCCAAGTTCCGCAGATCGATCCGCGAGAGGAGAGGTGTAACGGGGAAGAACCCCAGAAGTCTCACGCCGACTTGCGCAGGAAGCAATACAGACTGGAGCACCTACGGGGGGGAGTCACGACCCCCTAGCTCTGAAGCAAGCAAGCAAGCAAGCAAGCAAGCAAGCAAGCAAGAGGGAGAGATCGAGCCCATCCTCCGCCTAGCCCCGGAGCAAAGCAAAGCAAAGAGAGAGAGAGAGAGAGAGGAGCTGTGATCCCAGAAACCCTTCCTTGGAGCGGGCACCCAAGCAGCATTGGGTCTGGCCTGGCAGTCAGGTCGCTGAACGTCTCGATGCTTCGCGAATGTCAAGCAGATCGGAGGCTCTCGTCTCGTCGTGTACCATCGGAGCTCGCATGGCTATGGCTTGCTTTCTTTCGAGGAGCTGCGGAAGTTGCCTCGCTCCCGGCTGTCACGCTCAAATTCTTCGCCCTCGCTCCTTGACAGCTCTTGCGACCTTCGAACTGGGATGCTTCGTGTACGTTACTTTGGGGGTCTTACGGATTTTGCCTTTCCTTCGGCCAGGTTGCGAGATGCCCCGCGGCTGCCCGGAATGTCCCGCAGCCAGAGCTTCTGTACCTGCCCCAGTGGCAAAACACGCACGCCTGGCCTCACCAAGTATGCGGGATTATGAAAGAGGAGATTTTCAAAGAGGCGGAAAGCAGGACTGTGGCGGGGGAGCTTTGAAAAATTGGAACTGCGGAGGGTCGGCGGCGATCCAAAAATACTTTTGACGCAGAGCTCCGTTGCCAGAGTTTTTGACCTCTAACCGTCTACAATCGACATGTCAGTTCCAGGGTGCGCATTTTGAGCTCGTGGGGGCTCCAGGTGCTCCCAGACTCTTGGGTATGCAGGGCATCGAGGTGCTCGTTCAGTGCTTCAGGAAACTTGCAGTTGGATTATCGCTCTAACACTGAGCGACACAGTTAGGTCTCAAGTTCATAAGCTACCCTGAGGCCTTTCGTGAGGCGTGAGGTTAGGAGTGAGAGCATGGAACATAAGGCTCTTCGCCACGCCTGGACATTGCTGATCCGGACTGCCATACACCGGAATTCAGTCTGACTGGCATTGACTGACGGGGCCCCTGCACCAGCAGGCTCCCCAGTTGTTCTGGTTGCTCCACGGTTATGGACTTCCGACTAACGGCAGAGGATCCGTTTGGAAGCCTTTTCGACGTGTGATGGCATTCCACGAAACTGAGAAGAGAGGCTTGATGCGGCATTGTTTGCAGCATTGCCATCACTTCGTCGATGCCCATTTGAAAAGCACCGCATCGTCTCCATGGCCACTGAAAATGGATCAAGTGAGTCAGCACGGGAGTTCGATCTTGGAACGCGACCACAGCTCTTTCCGATATCAATGTGCTCATGCTTGTCGACTGTAGTGAATAGGTATGCACGCCTGTCGTAAGAAAGCCTGCAAGCTCTGTCGCAAGCATTCGAGGTTCAAGAGTTCTACAATGCAGTCAAGGTTCAAGAGTTCTACAATGTAAAGGGAACTCTTGGGAGTTGTAAATCCTCACCCTTCCAAGAACCCGACCTGACGCCCGTGTCCGATTCCCCCGGCACACCCACGCAGCTCAAGGCCGGGCCTTCGGCCCCGGCCACGGCACAGTTCAATTGCGATGTGCTTCTGCTTGGACCGTGGTACGCTCTCGCGAGCCACTGCTCCAGAGGACCGGAGCATTTGCTAGCAGCGCTGACTGAGCTTCTTGCGCTTGCCGTTGTCCGGCTGTGACACAGAGGTGACTACTGACTACTACTGACTACTGGTTCATATCTTCATGTCTCGATGACCAGATGTACAAGTAGATGCATGCATAGTCTCAGGTGTTGGTTGTATTTACCACAAGTTGGACTAGACCCACTACGATTCTCAGGATACGTGCAGAGCCGAGCTTCGGCAGAAGCGCTTGTTGCAGCCAGGCACAGCCGAGGGGGCCACTGGCAGTCGTCGCAGACAGTAAGTTGAGACCTGTACAGTACTCTCCGTCTGGCTGGTTGAACTGATGCGAGGGCTTCAGGTTCTCGGTGCAACTCTCTCTCCACTGGAGGTGGAAGGCGACACGACCTTGCTGTACGAGCACTGCGCACTGTGCTTCGGCATTGGGCGACTACCGGGAAGGTGCCAAACAGGCGGGAATAGTTGCGACAATCCTGTTTCCTTGGCTAAGTTCTGGTAACGTCACTGTAGACTCTGGAGCGCAGCGAACTTGCAGGGATTTTCCCAGTAAGAGAAGCGGCGACTGCTGTTTTGGTTTTGTTCGTGCTTCGGGTGAACAGTGATCGTCCCTGCGCTCCACCTCAGTCAGATCATTGTCGATTGAAGTGTTGCTGCTGCAACGACAAACGCTGAAAGTAGTGCTTGTGAGCCTTGTCCAGCTTCATCCGGTTCAAAACGGTTTTCAGAAATCCGATGCATTGGGCCACATCGTGTTCGGCTTGCAGCTGTCATAGTATCATGGCTGATTGCAAAGTTTGTGTTCCGCATGCTCGGCACCAATGCAGATTGGCTGCAATGGGTGGGGGGGCGGGGCCTGGCAGCGTCAAGCTTCACATCAAACTGCATTTCTCATGTTGAAGCACCCCAGATCCTGGAGACTGTCCAGTGGACGGCTGGAGGCAATGCTGTGTTCGCCTCGCTGGTGTGGTGACGGCGACACGGCCACGGCTTTCGCGAGCACCGCAGGAGGTGCAAAGTTGTTTTTACTGGGCGAATCAGGTCACGACAGTCGAATTCCCACCATTTCCGACTCCTCGCACCCCATGCTGGGAGCTCCCGAAACCCGTGTCACTGGACTGTTGCACACCATCTTCTGACAGGTAGATCGCCCCACGTCCCGGATTTGCATGCTGTCTTCGTTACTTTCCGTTGTCGGCTTCTGCAGTCGATTGTCGCGATATGACGGGTCCTTTGACTGCCAGACCCGTTGGCGTTGCAAAGATTTCAGCATTTACGCAGAGCCTTGCAAAGACTCCCAAATGCATGTCCGAGAGAGCTCAGCAGGCCCATTCTGCAAATGGTGCATCTTTGGGTTCGTGGTGGTGTTAGATTTCCCGTGACGGCCTGCGGGTCTTTGCACAGCTGCAGAAAAGCTGGCACAAAGCAACTGATCACTCTGAAGGCTTTTTCTCCTTCTATACCTGGCCTGCGCCTGGCCCTCGAGAAGGCACTGAGAGTGGAAGCACAGATCAATCGGCTGCCCGGCAGAATCCATTCCGGGTGTCTTCGTCCTGAGGCTGATAGGGCCGTTAGCGGAGTGGGGGGGGTTCGTTCTCGGACTACGGAAGGGTGGAGGGGTTTGTCACGGTTTGTCCTTCCCGAGTATGAAGGTATGCACGGGGGGAGGGGGTTCCTTCTTTCCGGAGTATGGAAGGGGGCTTCGTTTTCCTGGGAGTATGAAGGGGGGCGGGGGTGGTTCATCGTTCGGACAGGGGGCCGGAGTATGAAAGAGGGGAGGGCTTCATTGTTCGGAAAGGGTACCAGCAGTACTTGTACAGGTTCGTCATACATCTTTAATGCGCCCTCTCATCGGGAGGTTCGGATCCATCACATTTGAACACGCCCCTTCCTTTGGGGATTCCGGTTCATCATAGACCTTGGGGATGCCCCGTCATTCGGCGATTCCGGTTCATCATATATCTAAAACAGGCCCCTTCATCGGTCGACAGCCCAGTGAAATGTAAACAACCGACCACGAGCACGGAGAGCCAACACAAAACCCGCAGAGGCCAATCTGGAATTCGGGTTCACCATCTATAACTTTAAGCACGCCGCCTTCTTTGGCGATTCCGGTTCATCGTTTATCTTAACACAGCACCTCATGTGGCCATTCGATTTCATCATACATCGTGAACCCGCCTGTTCATCTGGCCACTGTGGTTCTTCATTTACCTTAACAACCCCCCCACCCCCCTCGCTTGGCGATTCGGAATCATCATATTCCTTAAACACGCCCCCTCATTTGGCGATTCCGGCTCATCCTATGTCTCAAATAGCACACCCCTCATTTAGCGATCCTGCTTCGTCATGTATCTTATTTAAACATGCCCGCTCCTTTGGCGAATCGGCTCATCATTTATCTTGTACACACCCCCTCAGTTGGCGATTCAGCTTCTTCATCTGTTTCCGTCATTTGGCGATTCCGGATGGTCACAGATGTTAAACACGTCCCCTCGCTTGGATTCCGGTGCAGCATCTCCCCCTCACGTCAGCTTCCGGACTTTTACATCTCGTCACCACGCCTCCTTCATCGGGCGATACTGCTCCTCTATTCCCACCGCGTTCCCTTTTGAGGCGATACCGGCACATCATAGAATTTGACCGCCTCCTCTTCCGCTGTGTTATATATATATATATATAGAGAGAGAGAGATACATACACATATATATATATATAGATAGATAGATAGATAGATAGACAGCTCCAACATGCCCCGACCTTGGGCGATCTCGCTTCTCCACCTCGCCGCAGGGCACACGCCAAAAAGATGGCGGAGGGGGTGAAGGGGGGGGGCGTAGCCCCTACCATTTGCAACCATGCATCTCCAAGCCGTCACCAGCCCCCCACCTCTTTCATAGTCCGCAGTTTCTAGTGTTACAAGTTTGTCGTAGTCGTAGTAGTAATTCGACTAGTTTTCCTGCTAGTCGTCGTCGAAGGTAGTACAAGTACTAGTCGCAATCGGCAGTAGTAGTAGTAGTAGTAGTAGTAGTAGTAGTAGTAGTAGCAGTGGTAGTAAAAGTTCAAGCCAATCCCCTCCTTGCCCTTGCCTGTTCGTCCAGTCCTATAGTACGCCCCACCCGCCCGTTCAGAGGCGTCGAGCCCCCTTAGTGTTCCTGGAGTACGAAACACCCTCCCCCCCTTCATGCTCGTCGAATAAAACCCCTTCATACTCTTCCCCCCCCTCCCCCCACCCCTCCTCTATCGGCTCGGTCTCCAGATAGGGGCATTCGAACCTAAATCTCGAGACTGTGGCATGGGCACTGGCCCCCATGGAAAGGCAAGGCTAGCACCTCAGCGTGCCGTTTCCCCCGAAGCTCTATTATAAAAGCCGCAGGCCTGGAACCAAGTCACCCCGAGTGGACTGCAAGCCATTGCAAGCCGAGACTGTAGCTCTTTGACCCAAGGTTGCTGCACAAAGCCGTCCGCCAGCAAGACCTCGAAGGTGCTAGACAGGCCGGACCGGCGAGGAACTCGAGCCCTCGCGTTGCGAGATCTTGGCCTTTGGGCCTAGCATGCCTGGCCTTGTTGCTTGTTTTGGTGCAGGCACTGGATCTTGGAGCAGAGGTGACCGGCAGGGATGCACATGGCTGGACACCACTCCACGTCGCTGCAAGCAAAGGCATGTTCTTGCAATGCGTTCTAGAGCTTGCACAAACTAGCATCCGAGAATACTGGTGCTTTGGATTCCGTCTTGTGTAGCCGGGTGGCCATGCAGAGGATGTCCCTGAGGTGCAGTGGACATTTGCGACTTACTGCTCGCGTCCGGTGCAAAGGTGACAGATGTTTGCTGTCTTTCGGTGTGGCCGGGTCGAAGCTTCACTCCCATCGACATCGTCGATGCCTCGCAGATCTACTCTTTCAGAGAAGCTCTGTTTCACGGCCGACCTGCGCCCAAGCGGCAGCAGGTCCTCAGCCTGCTCCTGGCTGCCAGGGATCTCGAGGCATTCGAGGCCTAAGCGCTTGGACACATAGGCAGCGCAGGCATGAGCAGGCACCTTCTGGTGGACTCAATCGGGGTGAAGATGGTGAAGTTCAGCGCCACAAGAGCGCCGAGACTACATTCCAAAAAAGTCCGCACTTTAACAAGCTTTGGACATGGGGGCTTGCAAGAAATGGCCCAGAGAAGATGACACAAAGCCTTCCGAGCGAGATTCCAGAATTTCTGGTGCATGGATAAACAGGACACACCGGCTCTGATCACTGCTATCCCAAAGTATGAGACGATTGAGCAGCGCCCAGTGCCTTCCTCAAAAGCCAGTGATTTCAATACAGCCCCGAACTGCAGGAGCCAGTCTTGTAGCCGTGGCCCTGCCATGCTACCGAGCCGGCTGCCCAGGGCATGGGCCCCCTTCTCTGCACAGAGCTGCATCACTTTGGCTGCTCTGCTGCATCTGGTGTGGATCTTCCTTATGTCAGCTTTGCAGCACATGTGTCCCATCGTGTCTTCAGGAGCACGTCACACCACAAAGGACTGCAGTCTGAAGTGCTTGCTTTGCTGTTTCAAGCTGGTCGACAGGGGATGTGCTCAAAGCTGGCTGTGAATGAGCAAGTATTGGTGGCACTGGGGTCAGCCAAGGGTACGACTAAGGTGCTCCTGCCGAAAAAGCCCCACGGTTCAGTTGCACGAGTCAAGAGTTTACTGGATCAATCGCGAAGCCATTCCGCACCAGCCCCCTGCACCTGGATTAAGAAACCCGGAACAGCAGAGGTGCTTCTTCAGCCCCTTGCCGGGATGTCACGTCCAGGAACCGCTGCAGAGACTTGGCTTGGTTTAAACTAAGTCTAAATGTTTGGAGCCGAGATATTCCTCGGCGAGTGGCAAATGCAGAGGAGCGAGTCCAGTTTGCAGCTTGTCACTGGCAGGAATGCTGGCAGGCTGGCTTTACCTACGAGCGCTGCTGCTTGCGAAGATATGGCCACCTGCATTCCATTCGGCCCAAGGCTTCGACGTAGCAACGCCATGCCACGACAGCATGCGACAGCCATAGTTGCAAGCATACGTTTCGCAGAGTCTGGGAGCCCTGCCGAGCTACTTCAGGCATGCTGAGAGTAGACAAGCCAAACTGAACAGGAAAGATCTAGACTCTAGACCGCAGCAAGATTGAAGCTTCGCAAGCGGGGTCGCAATCGCAAGAGCCTTTTGCTGGCTTTATCGACTGCGGATGAGGTCCAGATGCAACCTGTTTCCCACCTGGTGATAGCTTCGACGTGGTGGCCTTAGATCACGTTACTGCATGTAGATATATGTAGAGGAGGTGTTCATTTCTGCTTCGCCACCCGGCGAGAGACCGGTCAGCCTGCAAAAGGAGACCAGCTGCTGCTCCGGCTTGCTGCAGGCACTCCTCGCCCAACAGAGAGGCCGCGACGCTTTGAAAGTCCTTTGCATCTTTCCACTGGGCAGCAAATTGCCCAGCCAATGAGCCAGGAAGATCCAGGATCGTAAGCGCGTTCGACACCGCAAGAAGAACACGGACTTTGAGCAGCAACATGTGTCAGGAGACGACGGCCCGTCCAGAGCTGAAGCTTCGTGGCTCGGTGTGCGAAGATGCGCGGAGAGGAGCAAGGCCTTAAGCCGATGCCAACAAATGACTTGCTGTCAAGGTGAGACGACGGAAAAAGTTGCCTCACGACAAATGAACACTAACAACTGCAAAGGCTTGCTACAGAAGTAGGGCAATCGCAGGTGTCAGGTTTCACGAGGTACTGTGCTTCGACCGAGTACGGTAGTTAAGTCCGAATCTTGAATGTGCTGGGCTTCGCTGAACAGCCAACTTAGTATTTCCGGCAGGAAGAAGCCGCGAGCGAGCCTGCCAGTCTCGCCGGTGCAGTGAGGGAGGGAAATGTGGGCTTCCCTGCATTCGGAAGCACTCGTAGGCCAGGCTACAGCTTAAGGTCAGCTGTTGAGATTGCAGTCGAAGATGCTGCCGAGGCCTTCTTCAAGAATTTTGGGTCAGGGATGTCTTGTGGACTTAGGAGCTACAGAACTCTGGTCAAACACCGAAGGCTCTTCGGTCCAGGTGAGAGAGTTCCGTTCATGCTTATGACTTCTGATCCTGCTTGGGGATAAAGACGGAAAAGGTGAAGGCATATTGGGTCGTGTTGTAGATTGTCGAGAAGAGCCCTGGTCAGGAAATGAGTTTCTGAAGACACTTACCTGCATCGCTGCGCTTCCCTCTGTGGACATCGTGATGGATACCTTTCTGGGGGGAGGCCGGTCAGATGCCTTGCATTGTTGCAATTAAGACTGCGGCGTGGTCCCTCAACTTTGTGCAGGGGGGTTGTCGGCCGTTCGTTCATGAGCAGCAGGGTGCCAAGAACCTTTATTGATCCCCTTCCATGCGACATTTGCCATTGGCAACTGCCATATGAAACTGGCAGGCTTCAGCTGTAGAGCGATAGCCATGGGGCCTCTTGGGCAGCAGTCAGCAACTCCTCCACTTCTGTGAGCAACAGAACAAGTTCAGTTACACTGATGGCAGCTGAATGTGAGAAGTTGCACGGTGGTGCCGTACACAAGACGTGCCACAGAGGCTGCTCACGATCGCACAGCACATGTCCATGACATATCACTGCATGCTCATGTAACGGGAGGAGAGGGAGAAGCCGAGAAGCGAGTGGTGAGCTGTGAGAGACTTTAGCGAGGCTTGCCACGTCCAAACCTCGCAAGAGGCCCGAATCCCAGTCTCGGCATTTAACCAGCCCGGATTCTTGAGGCTGTGCCCTGTCAGGCCCCCTACGGTGCTGGCTTTTGAGATGCACGAGGACAGGATAGTCTCGGCACCAAGGATGAAATTGAGCACATTGTCGGACAGCATGATCTCCAGATGCGACCCTGCACTGTCAGTAGGCCACATCTAGCATTGGTCCTCTACCCTGCACTAGCAGGCACTCAAGCTGCTCAACCAGGCGCATCCTGGTTCAAGCGAAAGGTTCGTGGTTATGCTGGCAGACATGACGAATGCAGATTGCTCGAGCTTTTCTGACTGACCTGTGGCTGCGGCTTTTGTCCTTCTTGATTCTTCATCGACACTTAGGCCCCTTCGGCTGAAGTCGCCAATTCTGGCGTGGCTTGTCTTCATAAAGAACTAGACCGACCAGGGTCCAGGACTCACGGTTTCGCGACGGCCTGGGAACTGTGGAAAAGGTAGGCACCGTGGAGATATATGGCGTCATTGGAAGCAGAACCTCCAGCCAAGCATGCTGGATGGCACGAAGAGCATCCAAGGGACATTGTCAAGGAGGAGGGTGAGAACATTCCACTATCGACTGACTACAAGGCCCTGCTGCACAGACACAGACAAGCCACAGGTTGAGGTTTTTTTGACTGAAAGGCCGAAAGCTAAAGACTCTGGTTCGCAGTTTGCAGTAAGTGTAGCACGGCTAGCTGGCGACAGCTGGTGGGTGAAGGGCAGTTGGCAGCTTCAAAGCATGGACTGGCCGACCGTGCTTGTAGCACCGTGTGTTCATCGCGGATCTGATCAGGAAAAACTGTACCGGTACCAAAGCGGCCTGAGCGAGGCACGAGTTTGGAACGAGGCCAAGAGATGACGGCAGCTGTCTACCTCCGTAGTACGGACAGGTCTTGCAATCCGCTCCAGTGCTGGACAAGGCCTTGTCCATGCCTCGGGGATGCTTCGGTCCTTCCGATTTTTTTCTGAAGCAGAGCCCCGCAACTGAGTATGTCTGAAGGCTCAAGCCAACAAACTCATGCCCTGTGACCGCTTTTGTTGACTTTGCACTGAAGCAGCCGAGTCTCAAACAGGCATAGGGGCATTTGACGCCATGCTTGCGCACTGCTTCAGGAGCCTTTGCAGATGGTCTTCGCACACGGTGTCGCACCTGCAGTTGGAACATGTTGGAACCACCACACACGCGCAGACTTACAGAGTCTCAGAGGATTCGCGAAGTTGCTACCGTCACGAAACATTTGGAGTAGTGACATTTCGGTCGGGCTCCGGTTTGGGTTTGTCCGCCTTGCTAAGCGGACCCGTTCGACAGGTACCCCTTTGGCACGCAGCTCTCTCACAACCTATGCTTGGAACGCGCAACAGGCTTAGCGTTTTTCCACAGAGTGTGTAAGACTGGTGGTTGTCGGTTCGCGCATGAGCGTCCGTTCGGCCACCAGCTCTAGCTTTTCTGACCTGTCTCCGTTAAGACTCAAGACTGCGACGCACACAAGTTCAGCCAGAGGCTGGACATTGCTTGCCAGCACTCGGCTCCTGTAGATTTGGCCTGGACCTCGCTCGGAGCTCTCAATACTCTCAAGTACTATTCTATGCGGCTGTGCACAACGACATCTCTTAGGTATCATTTTTGATTTCAGTAGACGAAAGGTCGTCATCGATCAGGCCGCAGACGTGACCAAGGACGAACCCTGATTCAGTGCGTGTTTAAGCCATCAGTGGAGAGAGTTGTGAAGGTCATCAATACATTGGCCGTTCCAGGAGTGGTTCATCATTGAGAATGTGTGCCGTCCAAGGCTGGTAGCCTTGTTCAATGTCTCGAACTGAGGGAATCGGCTCTCAGGTGGCGGCATTGTCACATGCCATGATCTGGACCAGAAGTGACAGAGTAAGGTCAACATCCATGGCGGTGGCAGCTGGATCAAGTGCCTTGGCCCTGACTCTGACACCGCCGACGGCAGGAAAGCAGACAGTATTGCATAGTAATGCCGGCCTGCTGAAGATTGCCATATGGTATTGTGCCTTACTGTAAAGTACTAATCACTGTGAATGGTCGCTCACATACAGCTAGCGACGCGAGATGCTGTTTTGCAGGCCCAATTGCCGCAGGGCAGGGCAGGGCAGGGCAAGTATCGCGGAACGTTGGCCACAATGATGATGATGCGTCGTGGCGGCGACAAGGAAGAACAAAGTGGAAGAACAAAGCAATGAAGGTGGCGAGGTAAAGATGATGACGGCGATGGTGATGACTACGAGGACGGTAATGCTGATGATAAAGATGACCTCGGCAACCACGACGACGATGCGGCCGAGGATGGTTTGGACCTCGTCTGATTCCATCTGAGAGCGCGGGTCGCGGGACCTTGCCCCATGAGCAGCGATAACTCATAATTGCTATACCCATGAAAAATGCATTGCGAATTCAAACCTGGGCGCAGTAGCTTGAGCAGTAGTAGTAGTAGTAGTAGTAGTAGCAGTAGTGGTAGTAGTAGTAGTAGTAGTAGTAGCAGCAGTAACAGTAGCAGTAGTAGTAATAGATAGTAGCAGTAGCAGTAGTTGTAATAGTAGCGGTAGTAGCA